TCACTTCATAACCACAGCTTTTGATGTGGAAAAAAAATTGCACATGGGGAAAATGCTGCAAGCCCAGAAAAGGATACCCCCTGTCATGGTTAGCAGTCCAAAAATGGCAGACAGCTCAGAGGTCACACTCTATTTGCAGAACATCTAGAGAAGCAGAGATGACTAAAAACAAAGCTGAAATAGCTCCTTCATACCTCAGAATGAACATGAATATCATCTTTATGTGAAGAAACAAGAGCAGGTATACCTAGGGGCGACTTCAGACAGCAAAGGCGAGCACTAAATATGAAGACAGCAAATACTAAAACAAACTACAAACTTTAGAGCAAGTGTCTGGATCTTAAGCTGCTGAGCACCAAGGAAAGAGCAAAGACATGATACATGTCACCAACACTTCTGTCAGATTTTTCTGCATGTTCTAAGCAGAGCCGGCTTCAGATTCCTGGTAGTAATTTACAAAGGTCACAGAACTCCAACCCCGAAACAAATGATAGTGGTGGATTTAGACAAACAGAAAATACTAAATGACTCTCCAAGACGAAAGGCCAGCTTATGTACAAGGAAACCCAGGTGTAAATATCTTCCCAACATGAGTCCAGAGATTGGCAAGATGCAAGGTACCTTCAATGACATGAAAAGGCAGGAGACTTCCACAATCAGAGGATCTCTGAAAGAGACTGAATCTGATTCAAGAAATTGTTGATTAAGACATTCTGTGTATATGAAGTGTTAGGTATTGTGAGGTAATTAAATTAAACAACACTTAAAAATGTGTTCTATTGGATTTTGTTTGTTTGTTGTGATACAGTGGATTCCTACAACAAATACAATGACCAGTGTGACAGAATAAGTTCATGAATTTAAAACATTGGTCTAGAAAATAAGACCCAATGCAAGTGTGGTGGGGAATGCTCCCCTAGTGTAGGTGAATATACTATGTGTCGTGTTGGTGAATGCAGCCCTAGGCCTGAGTCCACCTGCACCCAACTCCCTAATCAGGGCCAGATTATATAAGGTACCTGTTGCTCTATCATTTAACAAGCACAAGTCAGGATCTGAAACTTTTTGCTGTCAACCTAGAGTCAGAGGCATATTGATTTCAGGTTGTCCATCTGTATTGGAATCAGTATACTGTGTTGTTCTGTGATGTATTTGGTTCCATCTACTGGTGGCTGCAAACAGCAGGAATGGAGAAGTGTTATCACAGACAAACATTAAGAATAATTTTTCTCTTCATGCACTCAGAGTGAGCATCATAGATCAGCAATCTGCTCCATCTCATGCTTTAAAGTCCACTAAACGGCTTCATCCGTAAGTTTTCCTCTGCTTACAGTTTTATCAACATGTTTATGTCACTAGTTTTGGATTTAATTACAATATGTTTTATGATAATTACTTTATTGTGGACAGAGTACAGGTGTCTTAGAGGTTGATGGTTAGAGCATCGGTGCTGTGTAAACATTATTTACTATCATATTTGCATTTCTATTACATACATTTATGTACTTATAAGTTCCTGTTTGTATTAGTTTATGTCAGTGATCTTTAATAATAATAATAATAATACATTTCATTTAAAGGCGCCTTTCTTGGCATTCAAGGACACCGTACAGTTACACAAATTGAGATTAAAAACACATTAAGAAGAAACAACAATAAAAATGAAATATAAAAATAAAAATAATACAAAAGTGACAGAGCAATTGGCATCAGATGGAAAAGGCAGTTTTAAACAGATGTGTTTTGAGTTGTGATTTGAAATGGGGGAATGAATCGATATTTCTGAGTTGGGGTGGTAGTAGATTCCAGAGACGGGGAGCAGAGCGGCTGAATGCTCTACTCCCCATGGTGGTGAGACGGGCGGAGGGGACAGACAGGTGTGTGGAGGAAGAGGATCTGAGGGAGCGGGAGGGAGTGGGAACATGGAGGAGGTCGGACAGATATTGGGGGGCGAGGTTGTGGATGGCCTTAAATGTTAATAGAAGGACTTTGAAATGAATATGGAACTGAACCAGTAGCCAGTGGAGCTGTTGGAGGACAGGAGTGATGTGGTGGATGGAGGGGGTACGAGTAATGATACAGGCAGCTGAGTTCTGGACCAATTGAAGTTTATGGAGGGATTTATGAGGGAGGCCGAAGAGGAGAGAGTTACAGTAATCCAGACGGGAAGTGACGAGGCTGCGGACAAGGATGGCAGCAGTGTGGGGGGTAAGGGAGGGGCGGAGGCGATTAATGTTTCGTAGGTGGAAGTAGGCAGACCGGGTAATGTTATTGATGTGGGATTGAAAGGATAGTGTGCTGTCAAGGATGACACCCAGACTCTTAACCTGGGGGGAGGGTGAAACAGAGGAGTTATCAATAGTGAGAGAAAAACTGTTGGTTTTGGATAACGTAGATTTGGTGCCAATGAGGAGAACCTCGGTTTTGTTACTGTTTAATTTAAGGAAGTTTAGAGTGAACCAGGTTTTTATTTCAGTGAGGGAGGTGGGCGGGAGAGTGGGCGGGAGAGTGGATGAGGGTTTAGTGGAGAGGTAGAGCTGGGTGTCATCAGCGTAACAGTGGAAGTCAATGTTAAATTTGCAGAAGATATTGCCGGGGGGGAAGGAGGTAGATGATGAATAGGAGGGGCCCCAGAACAGAGCCCTGGGGTACACCGACAGTGATGGAGGAGGGGATGGATTTAAAGGACTTGAGATGAATGAACTGAGTGCGGCCAGAGAGGTAAGATGTGAACCAGTCTAATGGAGTGTGGGTGATGTCAATGGAAGATAGCCTGTTGAGGAGAGTGGTGTGACAGATGGTATCAAAGGCTGCGCTCAGGTCGAGGCGGATGAGGATGGTGAGGAGTCCAGAATCAGCTGCCATAAGGAGGTCATTGGTGATTTTAATAAGTGCTGTTTCAGTGCTGTGGAGCAGGCGGAAACCGGACTGGAACTGTTCATACAGGTTATTGTGGGATAGGTGAGAATGGAGTTGGGAAGCAACTGTTTTTTCGAGGATTTTGGAGATGAAGGGTAGATTGGAGATAGGACGGAAGTTGTTGAAGTTGGTCAGAGGGGAGTGGATGATGGCAGAAATGAGGGGGACCAGAGAGGGAAGGCAGGCTTTAACAAGTTGTGTGGGGAGGGGGTCCAGTTGACAAGTGGATGGCTTGGATTTCTTAATGAGTTCTTTGATTTCTGAGAGAGTGGGGAGCAGGAAGGATGAGAATGAGTGTGTGGATGGGTGAAAGTTGGCTGAGATGCTGAGGTGAGGCACAGACACCGGTGAGACTTTCCACTTGTCGCGGTAAATTATCGTGAGACCTCCTCCCCGACCGGAGCCACGGGGTTGACAGATGTAAACAAATCCACTAGGAGTCGATTCAATCAGCAGGGAGAAGTCGTTGGGCTGTTTCCATGTCTCGGTTAAACAAAGAAAGTTTAGCTTACAGTCTGTGATGAGGTCCTGGATGAGAAGTCCCTTGCTTGTCAGTGAGCGGATGTTGAGCAGAGCGAAGTTGAGTGAGGTGTTGTCGCGGCTGGTGGTGGTGTTAGCCGACGAGGCTAGGCGGGTTAACACGCTGTGGTCGACAACCCGGCTGGTGGAGCGTGGAGGGCGTTGAGAGCTGGACCAGATGGACTTTATTGTTGTTGAGCTGTTATAGTGGAAATTCCGGCGGGACCCTCAGCGGGGCTGAAAGGTGATGTCCGGGTGAAGGTGGAGTGCCTCAGGCGCAGGTCCAGGCAGGTGACAGCGCAGCCGGAGCAGGTCAGTGGCCGAGTACTGAAGCATATCCGTCACTGGCAGGTGAATGGGCAGTAGAAAGAGCCAGAAACATACGGACAACATGTATGTCCTACCGTCCACATTGAGGACGAGAACTCAGGCTGCGTTGACCAGATAAACGTCAAGTGAGGCTCAAGCCGGGACAGAACTGGTGAGCTAACGGTAGGCTAGTTAAGACTCACACGGACGTAGTGCCAGTAAATCGTAGAAATATTCCAAATGAAGGCAATTACAAGATCCGATTAGGTTATAAAAACTATAAAATAAGTCAAAAGGTCTGAAAAGTTGAAAAAAAATATTAAAAGTTAAAAAGTTAGGTTACCGGCGAGCAGCGGCAGCAAGTTGCGCCAGCGTTCACTCTTGTTGCCATGCACTTATGTATTAGTAATGTTATTTTGCAATTTTACAAATTAAGATATTTTCTTCATTAAATCCTACCAAACAACAACCTGCCTGTTCCTTGGAGGATGCAATGATGGACAATGTTAAGCTAGCTGTATATCTGAAAATCATGTTGCCTGCAACAACTTTTATTGAGGACAGCATACCATCCATGCATACGTATACCCGTTTGTCCCATTCTCATGGACATCTCAGTAACGGCTTGATGGAACTTTTTCAAATTTGGTACAAACATTCACTGGGATTCAAGGATGATTAGATTTTGGTCTTTAAAGGTCAAAGGTCAAGTTACAGTTACCCATCAAAACATTTTTTAGCCATTACTCAAGACTTCACACAGCAATTACGACAAAATTTTACACAAATTATTAATATTTTATGTGACTCTGGATAAACAGGGATGTAATCTGAAACTAATCTGAGTGGAAGAGGCAGACAACAACATAGAATTACCTCCTCTTGGTTGTTTTTTTTTTTTTTTTTTTTTTTTTTGCTTTGCTTGACCTTTTGGTTTATTTTGCTTTTGCAGCCCAGTCAACTGGGCTATTTATTTGCTTGTAATTAATTTTTTCAGTGCAGCTGAGTGGTGTGTTGTTGGGAGGCTGGACACCCCTGGTGAGGTCCCTGCACTTCATGCATGTGAGTAAAAGCACTAACAGTAATAATAACTGCTCTCATTTGGCTGTTTAACACAGTGTTTCCTACTTTATTACATTGACTTATGTTACTGTGTCACCTTTGCAAACAGAACACGGACACATACAGACACTAATAGAGAGAGAGTTTAGGTAGAAAGAATATATGTAAAAGATTTAAAGATGTAAACTCACATCTTCATCTTTCTCCAGCTCCAACCCCATGTCTCTCAGTTTCCCCTCAAACTCCTCCCTCCTGAAGGCCTTGTGATCCTCCTGGACGTTGATGGTCTCTCCTGGACAGCCAAGATCCATGTCAGCCACTGGTGATGATGGCAGAGACGATGAATCTTTTGCCCTCCGTGCTGGGTTTTGTCGAAGATGTTCATCACGATTGTGGGGGTCATGGCTGTGGGGGCCACGGCTGTGGGGGCCACGGCGTAGACTACGGGCAAAAGCATTTTCAGTCAGCAGGTGTGCTGACTGTCGACAGGAGCGGCCCCCACCCAGCTTCTTCACAGGGTAGGTAAGGACGTAGTCAACACGCCGCTGACCATCCTGGAAATAGAGGCCATGGTGGCAGTGGGTGTTTTCCTCTGGGCTCAGAGCTTTCAGCAGCTGACAGTGTGCACATGGGGACAGAAAGGGAGGGTTGAGGGTTTAGGTCACAGCATGTAGAGGCATTTGTTTATTTAAACAGTTCTGTTTCTCTCATGTTAGCGCTTCCTTTTCTGTTGAGGTGATAAAAATATCAAGATGTGTTCTGAATAAATCTTTTCACCTGACTTAGCAGGTTATGTAGTACCACATCTGGTTACTGGAGTATCATACAGCAGTTGGCTAATGGTGCATTGGGAGCGTGTTTATGTTCCCACAGCCCTATGTTCCCTCAGCGATCGTTTTTGTAAAGCATCGTTTTCAGTTACGGAATTCACCATTCTAATGTGGACGGAAGGGCTAACCGGATAAATATTACCCGGGTTAGTGTGGACATGGGCTTATGGGACCACATAAAACTGTGGGAAAATAGGGCCTAATTTTCAAAACATTCTTAGAAATGTGGGAACATAGGGCTGTGGGAACATAGTAACTGGTAATATCTGTCCTCTCCTGAATCTGTTCTGGGGGTCTGTTGTGCTGGCATGTAATTTAGATACTCTGCACCGACTGGACAGTTATTATTGGTATCTGATACACCAACAATGATTTTTTTCCACGTCATTTGAAGTAAGACCTGTCTCTAACCTTCCATTTGTATCTAAAATCCTAGAAAAAGTTGTGTTCAAAAAGTTACTAGCACATTTAACAAATAATAATTTATTTGAAATTTTCCAGTCTATCTTCTCTTGGCTGAAGATGCTGGTGATTGGTCCATCTTAGTTCTTTTAGACCTCAGCACTGCTCTCAACACAGTAGATCATAAATACTCATTGACAGACTGGAGAAGTGGGCAGCAATCACTGGTTCAGGTCCTATCTTTCTAATAGACATTTCTGTGTGTCAATGGCTGGCTTAGTCTCATCCTCTGCTAACTGAATCCTGGATCCAATTTTATGTGTTCCCTCTCGGCAAATATATCGAAGCCAGGTTGACAACAGTAATAAAACACATGGGTTACAATAAGGACACTGGGGTGCTCTGGTTTATCAAGAGTCTCCCATGTCTGCTTTCACACCATCAAACTATCACTTGGACAGAAAACAGGGACGAAAGGAGTTCCTCTCACCCACAAACTATAGCTTTTAAGATGTCAGTGGAATTTACAGCTAGTTCATGGAACTCATCCAGAATACACACCTCCACAGCAATTGGGATACACACAAAGCCCCCACAGAGTGACACTGAGTCCATGTTGCAAGAATGAGGCTGACCTGGGACTGATAGGTGGTCACCACCTCCTCAAAGGGGAGCTGAGATGTATTTTATTAGTTCTGAGGTAAATATCCAGCATGTGACAATACCACCATCTAGGGACCACTCTGGATCCTGTATCCTCTCGGGAATAAACCGTTAAATAACCTCTGGTGCATCACCTTATTATTATTATTTGAGTCATATCTTTAGCCATTTATTTGTGTCATTAAGAATTGTTATTTTTCTGTTAGTTAATGTATTCTATGTGTACCATCAGCCAGTATAATATTGTTGTTCCATTCCTCTATTCCTAGTAATAGTAGTTCACATAGATCATTGTTAAATATGAATGGGCCATGGTGGAAGGACGATCCCAAATATTGTAAAACCAAATTAATAGAACAAATAAATAGAAATTTTATTTATCTCTGTTATGTTCCCTGATGTGTTACAAGGGATGATGAGAAGTAACAAATGAAACAGTGTTCCGGGAGGAAAGGAAGATAAGGAGGCAAAACAGAAGTGTGAGGGAACAAATAATTTTTATTATCAAAGGCAACCCAAAAGTCCTGCAAAAAAAACAAAACAACAAAAAGCACTGGCTTCTCAACCTCCAGGGTTAACAACCAAAGGACAAAATGAAACCTCAGGCCAAGTCTGAAAAACAACCTCCTTCACACAAGGAGTATCACACATGCTGGAAACACGCTGCCACACTGGCCCACTCCCTCAACTCAGCCGTTATCCTTCCATTTGTCACCTCCCACTAATCAGCAAAATAGATTCACCTGCATGCAGCTCATCCTCATCACTGGAGGAGGCGCAACACCTGGAGGGAGAGAGAGCAGCAGCACCGGACACAACAACTGGGGTCGTAACACCCCGTCCCACATGAAATCACTCAATATCTACTCACCAAGTTGTACTATACCAACAGAGGACCACAATTCACCCATGGGACAGAGCATCAGCTACCACAAATATCAATATTGTGCTGTAGAACAGTGGTACGGGAAGGCACATCACCAAACAGAGTGAGAAAAGAGTGAAATAGAGTGAGGATGTCAGCACACCAAGGAGGTGGACATCTCAGGGCTCATCTGTGTGATCTGAGATGTGTCCTTGGGAAAGTAAGGTTTCAACATGTTGACATGACAAAGCTGGGTCTTTCTTCGGTGTCAGACACCTTCCTCTCTACCACATATGGGCCTAGAAAACAAGCAGTGAGGGCCAACCCTGGTACTGGCAACAAAACAAGCACTTGATCACCAGAATGGAACTCATGCACCTTTGCCTTACAGTCAAACCACAGCTACATGTCAACCTGGGAACAAGGGGGAGCCTCTCTCGCTAGTGCAGTTGCTTTATTCAATCGCGCCCTACATTTGGAGACAAAATCCAATACAATGGTTCCAGAGGAAGAACAAGACATGAACTGCTCCTGCAACACCTTCAATGAACAATGCACATTGTGTCCAAAAATGAGTTCAGCTGGACTGAACCCAAGAGACTCCTGCTATGCATCTCAGATGGCAAAGAGCTTAAATGGCAGACCCTCATCCCAATCATTCTCAACAGTACTTTTGTAATATAAGCTGCATTTCGACCAAACTTAAAGTTTAAGTTAAAGTTTAAGAAGATTATGCAAAATTATTACTTGACATTACATTATTCACAGAACTTTGAAGACATAACATGAACGAAAATATGGGACAAATTGCATCCCTGTGACGATCCACATTATCCACGAGCACATTATTTGTGCTGGATGGCAACCCTAGCTACTCACGTTGCTGTGATCCTTTATTTTTTTGAAGTCCTGTTTCGTTTTTTTTTTACCTTCTCCCGGACACGTTTCGCGCTGTGGAAAATGTGTCCGCTTGGTGCAGACTCTTAAACATCGAGGGTGAATTAAAATTAAAAAAGTCTGAAATGTTCAGCACTGCAGCCCACACCCCCCAAAGTTCCTGAACCTTTGATCGACCCCCAAAAAGGTACCTGGTCAGGGGGTGGTACTTTCCAATTACCCTGAAAGTGAATTTAGACCCTGTTTCTGCGTTGGAAACGCGTATAGTTCCTCAAAAGGTTCCTGCTTCCTGGGGAAAGTTCCTGCAGTGGAAACAGCTATAGACTTTAAAGTCTAGTGCCTGCGCTGTAGTGCCTCCTTTGACTCAGGGTGGTAAACACTGCTCACTGAGTGTGAAATGCCTAGAGACTGCAGAGTTTGTTAGAACTTTTTAGACAGGAAATTTGTACCCTGGTCAGTCTGTACCACATGTGGCAACCCAAATGTAGTGAAGAACTTTATTAAGGCTTTACTAACAGCTGAGACAGGGAACCAGGTTGAAACACACATCACTTTCACAATGAACTGGTTATCAGACTTCGTTTTGGGCAGGGGACTAACACAATGACATGTTCAAAAGGCAGAGGGGCTGGAGGCACTTTCTGGTTTGGCTTACCCACAAGTTGGCATGTGTGACAAGTTCTACAGAAATGTGTCACATCGGCTTTCACTCCCAGCCAAAAGGAATGTAAGTACATCAAACGTTGCCATAACTTAACCAATTCACAACAGCTCACCCCCTATATGATCTTCACCTTACAAACACCAGTGGCAAATACAGCACGCATGTCCTGCATAGTGAGAAGTAAACCGCCACTAGTCCAATTGGAAACACAAATTTCCCCAGCTCCTGCTTGGTCCCCACCCAGGATTACACCCAAAACAAAAAAGGCAAAATAACCATAAAGTGCCTGATGGAGAGGCTGAACACAGCCAAGCTGGACACTCACCTATCTTGCAGGGAAGCTGCACACACACTTAACAGGACTAGAGACTGGTTCAATCCAGGCAGAAATACACACCACATTCGCCACTGGAGCAGAGACAATCAGAACAAAACACTATCACACACGTACTTTAACTCCTCCTCCTCCTGGAGAATTTACCAGATCAACATCATATTTGGTTGGTCTAATCTTAAGACCTCTAGAATGCTAAATTGTAAAACATCTGAGTTTTCGTTGGATGACTTGCCGTGGCAGCATGGTGAATTTCGATGATTCATGATGACAGAGGAAGTTGCTATAACTCCAACACATATTCAAAACTGCCCAAAACTTTATATTTTTTATAAGAGCCCCAGCCTGAAGACATCTCAATGCCAATATTCAGTTTTATTCATACAGTTTTATTTATACACTTTGATGTACTCCTCCTAGTAGGTTGACCACACCGACCTCAAAGTTGGTCAGAATATGCTTAAGACTTCAATGATGTTTGAATGTGAAAACTGTGACTCGTGAACAGCATGACCATGGTGGTGTGGTGAATTTCAATTTTTCACCATGAAACAGGAAGTTGCAGTAACTCAAATATACATTTTTCAATCTGCCCCAAATTTCACGTTTTACACTGAAGCCGCCTAATTTCCAAAGATTGTGAGTTTTCATTGGAGGACTCATTCATGGCAGCATGGTGAATTTCGATTATTCAAAGATCATAGTTTTGGCAAATAAACTGTGGTGAAACCTGCAGTAAATTATTATTTTGGCCATTAGGGGGAAACAGAAACAGACATAACACTTTTTTTTATCAACTATCATAACCTTTAAAAATGATCTGGCTAATCTGCTAGCAAACAATTGTCTGTTTACGCATCCCAGTCACAGAGCAACACCAGCATTCATTAGAAATACTGTGCATCTTATAACTGAAAAGTAAATATTCACTGTTTATCTAGCTTTGTGTTGTTTTCCTGTCTCCTGAGAGAAAGCTGCTGAACACTGCTGTGTTCATGAGTTAACCTCTAATTTTCTCCATTTGGTGGTGCATTATGTGTGTACAGTGGTTTTGTGACCTGATGCCGCCATAAATGACACTATGAGATCAGAGAAAGCAAAACAAAACAAAACAGTGTGACAGAATCACCGTCCCTTTACATGATCTGATAAACACTAAAACCTCAGATGAGAATCCTCACACCAGATTACAACAAAAAAATCCAAATTACTCAGTCTGTGCAGGATCTTTGTGCATCTTCAAACGTCACCACATAAACAAAAATAAAGTCTTCAAAAATGTGTTCTTCTACTGTTCATAATTATTATTATTATCAGTAGTAGTAGTAGTAGTAGTAGTATTGCCTATACCTTTTAATATTGTGATATTCATATTGCTATAGGTAGCAGCTTTGGGAAGTCCACACTCTCTGGAAATCTGCAGAGGGACTTGAGGGGCCTCAAGACACTGGATGTAAATCGTGAAACATAAATAGTGTCTGAATTATGAGCTGTGTCATAACCTGAACCTATTACTGTACTTCTTCTTATAAAGTCAGGTGTATAACATCTGGCTGCAGATCTGAGGGAAGGTGAATCTCCCAGTTTAAGCCGTTATCCTTTTAATATCATAATCACACCAACATAAGGGCTTTAGTATTTGCATTATACTCATTAAAGATATGGTGTAAAGGTCAGTTGCCTCCAGCTGTTATTTGTGTGTCAGAGTTATGTGATTTCATATATTCTGCTGCTCATCTCATTTTTAAGGTTGGTGCTACAGGTGCTGAACATTAACAAGGCCTCCACTTCAAACTACATTGTCTCTTTCAGCTGAGAAAAAGTGCTCACACAACTTTTTGTTGGGGAGAGGAGAGGGGGATGTCTCTGTCTTATCTCTTTAGAACTGACATTTTGTGCTACAGATGCATCATATCCAGTTCAGTTCACACACCTGTGAGTAAAGCATATACTGTAAACTAGAAAACTCCTGCAGAAATTTTCAATGTGCCTGCTGCTTTTTGTGTGTGCTAAAAGTCTGGAGTGAACGAACACATTTTCCACACCGCGAAACAGGTCAGGGAGAAGGTAAAAAAACTGCAACAGGACTTCAAAAAATAATTTAAAATTCTACATACTTTTTGGTCGAAATGTGGCTATAGACGCCCATGTTAAACTAAACTCCGAAGCACTTGCCCTCAACAGAGTTGAAGGGAGTTTCTAAACTGCAATAAAACCTCAACTGTAAACTGCAGGTACATAAAAGATATCAATCTCTTTATTGAAGCCTTGGGATGGCCGTGGTAAGGTGATCGGACTCGTAGTTTACCTCCGATATCCCATTTTCAAACACAAGTTTCATCTTAAAAGCTGTTGTCTGCCACAGACATACACAAGTGCAGTTGCTACCCAAACTTTCACACAACTGACTGTGATTTGCTACTGAGCCTGATTAACTCAGGGTATTTTTTACTGTTGTCCATGTTGTTCTGTTCTAGCAGGAGAAATCACAGCAGCTTTATAGTAGATCAACTGTTAGGGCATGTACATGTGTGTCTTGCTATAGTTGTGGGGACAAATTTAGGTTCGAAACCATCATTGTGAGGTCACTTTGGCCAGTCCTTGCAGTTTCAAAGAGCTTTTTAAGGGATAGCTGCAGTGACTGAGGTCAGAGTTAGGATAATTCTCTACAACATGAATGAAACTCAAAGTAATGTCCACTGTAGAAATTTAAACGTGTGTGATGGATATGCACCAAGCAGCAGGCACATTCAAAATTTCTTCAGGAGTTTGGCTTGTTGTTGTATTTGTCTTATGTGATTTTGTATAGGGGTGGTTTATTACGCTCAATTAAAAAGCTAGGCACATATTTCCCCTGCTCATTACTGCACTGTATGGACGTAGAGCTTGAGTTTCCCCCAGCAGGGCACACACAAAAAGAAATTCACATGTGCAAGAAAAACCACACTAGTTTACATGTTTCACCTCTGCTGCTTCACCTCCACTCTGGATTCCACTGTAGGAGATGAGGTTGTTATTAGATGTTTTGGTACCACTTTACAATAACACTACCCTTATAAAGGATTTATAAATGGTCTATAATTAGGTTATTAATTCAGTTGTTAACACTTTTTAAATCATACATAAGCAATTATAAACAAGTTATAACACAGTTGTCATATAGGTTCACTATTTAGCAAGATCAAGTTAATGCTTACTACTCATTGAGCTTACTAATTTGTTACTACCATTTATAACTGGTAAAAGGAGCCTTATTGTAACTCATTAAGAAATTATGATGTGTTTTACACTTTACAATAAGGCTCCCTTTTATCAGTTATAAATGTTTGTAATTACTTGCAATGCTAAAGTCCTAAAGAAGATAACAACCGGAAAAAAAAACATCTCCATTTTAATATCTAGTGTGCAGAACAATCTGATAGCAGGAATTATAATATATATAAATTGCAATTTATACAAATATGTGAAGGAGTAGCAGGTACAAACACTGGATGATGGAGAAAACAAAGGAAGCTCAGTAACTAATGAGATATGAGACTGAACAGTACAGATACATGTGGGATCACTCTTTGGCAAGCAAAAGGTCACTGTTGCCCTTTTTATCTAATGTGTTATAACAACTTGAAAACAAATGATTTATAAACAGCTAACAAGCTAATTAATAAACTAGTCATAAACCATTCATAAATCCTTTATATGGGTAGACTTATTGTAATGATTTTGACCATTATTTTGTTTTGCTCTGTCTCCTGGGAGTAACACTGGTCTCATCCTCATGGCCACGATGATTCTGAGAATAGCTGAGACCTTCATTACCCTCAGTGCCATGGTCATTTTTTTACTCAAAGGACACCACCCAAACCTGTAGAGACCTCACCAAATAGAGCTGAGTATTGTATTACTGTTGTATTAAATTATAATACAATACCCATGTTTCAGAACTGGTCTTTTTTCTTGATACATTACATATGAAAAACATTTTCTTTAAGGCAGGAAGTTGAAGTCTGAACAATGTCAGAACACAAAATTTAACAATCAGTAATGATTTCACCAAAGAATAAGATATGGTTCAGACAACTCTGGCCCAGATAACCTGTTTGAAGGTGGGCAACCGAACAGTTGGGTGACAATGCCCACAGCCTGGCAGGTGGGCACTAGTGTGCTGTGGAATCCATTCCACATGTATATCACATGTTTGGACATGAACATAGCAGTCACAAGAACAGGACACTGACCACATGTGAGCACACACCTGCAGTACTGGAGAAAGTAAATGGCACCACAGTCAGATATTTAGCAACTCTAATGATATCTGTGTAGTACGCCAAAAATAGTGACTTATTTTATGCAGTGCACCAGCATCTAATGTCAAGTCAGTCAACAGGTCAACAGTTTTTGTATTACAGTAAAACACATCTACCACAGGATGGATTTTTCTTAACACTTAGAGAAATATAATGCTCCAGCACAGCTGTTTCTGGGGTCAAGAATGAACACGGACAAAATGCTCAGACAAACAGTCAACATCTTCCAACAGCTGGGCTGTTCCATTAGCTGAGCACAAGCCTGGTGTATGATTTAAAACTTGTATGTTTTGCTCTAGCGTAGAAATAAGAAAACATTTATGAATCTCCACATACATATAGGGTAAAATCTGTGTGTGCAGATGTTTCATGAAGGAGGCCCCATGTCTCTTCTGTCTTGCAAGTCTAATGAGCGTTTTTTATGAGCTCTTTGCTGCCCAGACCACCAGTCAAGAGTTGTGCAGTAGTGGTCTGTCAATAAGCAGAATGAGCTCTGCAGTGACGGTCATTGTGTCAGGTCGTCAACACTGTGACCTCATGTATACAGCTCTGTGTATGTGGATCAGAGCTGCATTTCTACAGTGGATTATTTTAGTTGAGTCACTTTGACATGAACACAGAAGAATGGAAAAACTTTTGTTATGTTAAAAAAGATCTGGCTGGAAAATCTGAATATTTATCTTTGTTCATGTTTATGTTGTTTATGTGATTTTGATGCCCCTCCCTCTTTTTCTGTTTAATTCTACTGTACTCTCTGTGTTGTTTATACAAGTCAAAAACATGAGACTCCATCTTTTGTTTGTTTGTTTTTTATCAGCTGAACCATCCATCCAAAGATCTAACAAATTTTATTCATATTTCCCCAAATATCAGCGTTACATGTTTGTTATTTTTGAAACTGTGGTATCTCCAATACAATTCCAAATAAAGTTTAGTGTCTTTGTGGCCAAACACCAGTGGTATGTCTTCACTGACACAACAGGAGGTTAAAGAGGTTTGAAAGTTATGTCAAATTAATTGTTGTTGTTCTTAGCTTAAAGCTTTTTTTTCTTTTTCACAAAATACTTCCTGTAACAACTTTCTGTGGACTGTCCACACTGTGGCTTCTCTACTTGAGCAGATCTAGTGGAGACTCTCACCTTTAACTTGCCATGGAAGATCACATCTCGCAGAAAATGTGGAGCCTGCGGCTCAGACCCGGAGGCTGGAGACAGGCTGACTTCCACCTTTGCTTCCTCTGTCATTGTCCAGTGGCAGCAGTTTGAAAGCAGAGATAGACTGATGTGGTGAAGAGTTGTTTGCAGGCAGAATAGTCCAGTTTGTTCCTCTTCCTCTCTCTAAATCTGTGCGTCCTGTTTGAAATGTCTCCTTATATTACAGTGTTTGGTGTGAAGGACTCCTCCCCTGCCTCTGCACTTATTTTATTCTGACTTGCCACTCTTCTGTGGCTTCGCTCGTCTCCCTTTAAAGTTGAGTGGAGCTCTGTTTCTGTCTCAGTGTTGAGTGGCTGAAATCAGCCTGCAGCAGCCTTGTTACTTGAGAAGCTGTCTGTGAGCCAAGATCTAAACTTAGACAACGATAAAACTCTGATGAACACAAGGTGCCCTCCCTCACTCTGCCTCTGCTCAGCTGTAATCACTAAAAGATCAACCACCCTAATACACACCCAACCCCAATACGCAGTGGTAGTACAAGAATACAGATGATAACTGTAACCTCTGCTGTGGGGCTACTTCTGCTGGACTACCACCAGTTTCTGTGCCCCAGTTCGCCGCACCAGCGAGTGGCACAACTCACTTGTACCTCTTTCTCCACTCCACCATCTTAACGCTCTCACACTGAAATTTACCTGTGAATCTGGTATACTGTCCTCAAGCCTATAGGTTGTTTGTGCAGCAGGTTATTATGACCCATAGTTGGGTTTTGTTGCTAGGCGACATTTAGCAACATTTAGAGCAAAGGGAAAAGTGTGGTGATGTAGTTTAAAGAGAGACAAAGTCCATGTCAGGAGGCAGTTGTGGTGGATGGATGAATATGAAACAGGAGAGCAGTGTTCGATTCCCATGTGAAACCAACAGTTTATGTTGTTTATGTTATCCATGACTATTTGTTGTTATTATTGTAACCATGACAATATCGATCGTCTAATTTTGAGGAAGTACTTATTTTAACCCCCATCACCATCTTTTCTTAAACCTAACCAAGCCATGACCGTTATTATAGTAACCATGGTGACAAAGGCAGGTATGCCACTCTTAGTACAGTCTGCTTGTATATTATTGTAACCATGCCTGCCTTCATAGGGTCACCACTTCGACCTGTATGGTTGTTCAGGTTGGAGGAGTTGTTGGAATATATACTGTATATATCCATGTTTTTTATAACCAGAAAAATGTTGATGAATACCAAAATGAATATAACCTTGTGTGCTGTGTACAGTTATTATAACCAATAAAGTACAATCAATCTGTTACAGTGATCATAAATAAGGAGCAAATGTTTTCAATATGATGTAAAACACAGGCAAAAATGTGTCAGGAGGGTACTGATTAACTGATTTGCATAAAAAGAGAGAAAAAAAGGCTCCAGTGAGAGAGCAATGCTACGGTGGGGTGGGTGGATGTTTTATTTGTTGTTTTTACCAAACATCTCATGACTTGTCCATGCTGGTGTCGTGAAACTGAAGATGGAAGAGTCCAAGCTGATTTTTGGAGAGGTTGAACCAAGAGCGGTAGAAGTAAGAGGGGGGTTTTGTTTTATTAGAAGAGGATACACTTGTCATATTGCATATTGCAGTGTCAGGTTTTTTCAATACTGTGTAGCTCTGACTACACAATGGCAGACATCTGTGGAATATTCTCATGGCAGTTATCATATCATCTATTGTGACAATCATGAGGTCAACAGCAGAAATACAGCATTCATGTCACAAAGTAATGTATGTATCAGGAGAGATTTAAGAAATTAAGTCTAAGATAAAGGTAGAAAACTACCACTCCAGGACTACCTCATCTGAGTTGTGGTTCTACTTAGATTTATCTACTTACATAGTCTTAGATTCAGACTAATCTTTTCTCCCTTATTTATTATTTGTATGTACACATTTTGTTCAGATTCCAAGGACAATCCTACCCTCATCGCATATGTTTTTATAAATATGAATCTATATTAATATAATTTCATAATTCTTTTCTATTATGAAAATGAGCACTGGTATGATAATTCATTGTATGTATGATTTTCTTTGGCTCGATAAAACATATTTAAAAATAAATAAAGTTATTTATGTATGTGATTGGCCAACATGGTGCAGAAGTCGAGTCAAGTTCAACTTTTTGTCGTGTTGCAGGAGCCGACAGTCTACCAGTTGACTGACTTCTGCTCTCCATCGTGAGTCATTCCTGGTGAGCCTCACCACTGTTGGGTCATCTGCAAACTTAAGGGTGTGGTTTGGCCTGTGTCAGCAGAGTGAACAGCAGTGGATTGAGCATACAGTCCTGAAGGGTGCCAGACTGGGTTCTGTCCAGCCTATTTCAAAGCAAGGTGTTCATTCCCAGCAGACTCAGCTTCCCTAACAGTCTCTGTGGAATCACTATGTTCTGAAGTACTGAAGTCTATCAAATCTTCCTCTTCCTCACCTCAGGACAGATCAGTACTGTCTCTGAGCACCCAACCATGAATGTTGTCTGGTCCAGCAGCTTTCCATGGGTTGACTGCATTTTAATACTATGCATATTCTGTTAAATATGATTTTAACTGCAGTGGTGGTGGTGTACAGACAGGTGTTGAAGGCCTTCACCTCCATGTCCGACCACTTTGTACCTGTATGTTGCACTGACTTCCTTAGCAGCTTTTGCAGCCATCAGCCTCTCAATTGGAACCATTGTAACACTTTCATTCTCCCCAGGAACAACATAGTTGCCAATATTCATGGATGGTTTTCCATTGACCATTTATGGTAAACCGTGGGAGTGTATTGGGCAGGATATCTAGCTCGTCCATGTGCGCACCGTTTTATAAATTATATTTTTGTCCTTATTGTGCACTTTTTGTAGGGATCCTACACACAGTTATTTATATCAGGCCACAGGCCACTAAAAACAAAAACAATTGTCATGTTAGTGTTGCAAGTGTTGTTAGTAACACTGCATGGATAATCCTAAATTTAATATAAAATGATGATGAAATAATTTACTGTTTCATTTACCAGAAATACCTATTATCTGTATTAACAGTTGAATAGGGAATGTACAGAGGCATTATCCAGGATGCATTCTTTTTTACTATGACAATGGTAACATTGCTTCGGTACATAAAATTCTGGGATATAGACAAAATACAGTTTGATTATAATTGACTTCATTACTGTTAGTGTTGGCTTTTAAAGTGGAGCTCAGGAAACCTGTGACATTTTTCCTCAAGCATAATAAAAAGTGGCCAAAGCATGAAGCTTGAAGTTAATTCTGTGTCGATTTTCCTGTGTGAAGCTGTTCCAGGAAACTGCTCTTTCTTCCACGATTGTTTACTTTATGAGAACTAAGATCCAGAAACTTTCTGTACAACCTCTCATTCCTGACACTTCAATCCCACAAGCTTATGTAACGCAGCAGCAACATCCGCACTCAAGTGTATTTTTAGATTTTAAGAGTTAAAAAATATACAGAGAATCAAGAAAGGAAAGCAGGGACCTTGTACAGCATAGGCTCCCAGGGGAGATCATGTGTCTGACTCGATGCTGGGAGCAAGATGTTGGGGTCAAAGGTCAGTTCTCACAGGAAACAGAAGGAAGTGGTGTTTCTGTTCACATACTGTGACTCAACTCTTCAATACAATGGCCCAAAGTTTGTGTAAATCAGTCAAATAAAGTTTTGACTAATGGTGACCTTTTGACAGCTTTTCAGAGGAGCCTCACAGGAGAGAGCCTCAACCATTAACAGGCTGATACCAAAAGAACTGTGTAACACTTTACAATATGGCACACAAAACTGCGAGCAGTTACTGAGGAACGAATGAGGAGTGGATCAAAAACGACCAGGTGTGGACATTAACAAAGTGCCTATCTATCTATCTATCTATCTATCTGTTGGGCACAATGGCCACCATAGTTTTTTGCAAATGATGACAGAATTTTTTGGTCATTATTTTCAGCAGCAGCATCACAGTCACAGCCGGCATCGTCAAAAGCAGATTAAACAACATTTGGAAACGACTTGATAATTAATGACTCATTAATAAGAAGATCTAAACTACGGATGCATTAATGATGAGCCACAAGAGAACAGAGTGGGAGATATTACTGTATATTGATGAATTATTAGGTAATGATTACTTCATAAATAACTGTGAGTCAACAAACGAAGGCAATTAAAAAAATACTTACAGTCTCTGTAGCTGCTTCATTTCTGAGGTTTACCACTTCAATCAACCTGGTAGAGCACTGTGCTTTTCTTTGACCATCTTGTCTCTTAGTGATTTGAAAGTTATATCAGTGTTATTCTTGATTTCAAGGATTCAAGATTTTTAAGGCCTTATTTAAAGATTATTAGAGACTGATATTCTTTGAATCAGAAGGCTCCAGATTGTGACAGAACCTGAGAGACAATAGAAAAAAATTATCCCTCAACACGTTACAGATATCATTCATTCAAATACTTTCATACTATAATAACAGTTTTTGGCTGGCCAAGCTAGAAAGCAAATGTTTCACAATCATGTTATGGTGTACTAGCAACATGACAACTGTGATATAAGTAAAGTCTCCTCTGACCTTTCAAAAAGTTTGAAAGACCACCACTGGGTTTGACTGACCCTCATGAATAAAAACTCATTCAGCTGATGTATAGGCATGTCAGTACTGTTTTAGAATAGACTTAAAAAATTGTGAACCTGTCCTTAAATTGTGATGGTGGTCATCAGCCCTTAGAAATATCAACAATGTTACTCCCTCCATTTTGTATTGGTACATAATATTTTTCATCTTCACTTACTGGTTTGGATGACTGGTTTCAAAAAGGTTTCAGGTTGTACTCTTATGGACTGGAGGTGTGGGGTCAGGAGGCCATTCATTAATCTCAGGTTTGTTTGATCCAATTTGTTGTGAACCCCAAACTGAGACCAGTTTCTGACAGAAAAACAAGAAACAAAATGTCTATGAACTTCTCAAGCAAGCTGTGTAGGCCTACTTGCATTCTAGTAACAATATATTGAAAAAAAGACTGGACAGTTTTTAAACAAAGGCACTGCATACTATGCTGTATGTCATTCATATCATTGTAATAATGTCACTGTTATTTCAGTGTAAAGACGAGCAAAAAGTCTTCATCAGTTAATTTGGATATCTTGCCTACTAAATTTATTATTACTATTATTTATTATAAGTTTTCATTGATATTTAACCATTGTAATGTAATTGTAATGAGCCCTCTTAGTTTTAAAAATTCTGGACCCATCTTTAAGTTACCATAGTTGCCATTGGTACCAAGAATTTTAGAAAAACTGGTTTCCTGAAAATTGAGTTTTCAAGTTTCCATTCATGTCAGAGCACCAACACTACTCTCACTAATATAACCAATCTTTTAACAACTGATGCTGGTGGTCGTTCACTGCTAATTTTACTTGATCTTGATCTCAGTTCTTGATTTATTACTAATTGGTCACATTATACGCAAACACAGTAATTATCATTGTCATTGAAAGCCACCTATGGCAGCTGGCCCCTTGTCTTTCTTAAATCAAGCACTGGATGATCCAGAATTTTCTTCAGCTAGATGAAAATAAATCAGAAAGCACTTTATTTGGTCCCTCACCAATCAGAGATCAAACCAGTTAAATGATAGTGGCCTCTCATTTGACAAATGTCACAAGAGTTGTCCAAACATGTTTTCTCCAGCTGAGGAGGTTCTCTGAAATCAGGTTGTACCTCTCTCATGCTGATCTTGAGAAGGTCATAGGCTACGTGCTGTTACATCAGTAGATCTTGACTATTGCTATTTGTTATATTCAGGGTTAAGCCAGCTGCTCAGCTTCTCATAATGTATCATTACATCCCTATTCTGGCCTCTCTTCACTGGGAAACACTTCACTCCTAGTTACTGCTGCTGAATTACATTACTGATCCCCTACAAGCCAGAGCATAGATCCTCAGATCCTCAAACAGAGCCCTTCTGTCTGTTTGTCAGTCATGGTTCATGACACAAGGTGAGTGCAGTGAGGAACTCTCGTCTTTGAAACTCCCTGCCTGAAGATCTGATTGAAGTGAATGCATTTTTTTTCCTTTATAAAGTGCCTTGTAACAATAACAAGGCCATATTAGCTAAGTGAAGTTTATTATTACTATTATAGATCACCAAATGTGGTTTTAACTGCTCGTGATGATGCCGGCTGTGATACTGATGCTCAAAATAATCCCCAACAAATTCATCCATCATTTGCTAAAAACTACAGTGGCCATTGTGCTCAACAGTTGTAGTGATGGATGAGAAACTAGGTGGAGCTATTCTCCTGGGACCTGTGGGAGATGAATCCAACCATGATTACTGAACAAACTACTATAACTTAATTACACATTTAATGATTTGCTTTACAATGATTCGTATTATCTTATCAGCATCTCCATGATGATACTGAAGGATTCATGATATTAGGGCTGACTCCATTGTCTCTTACATGGAAGACAAAAACTGAACTATCTCCAATATTTTCAGCATAAAATCAAGTCCACTCGTGAAGAATTGTTTTTCTCCTGTGATGAAAACAGTGTATGGTCTATCATATTTTCAAAATAAAATAAAAATTCATTCCACTGACTAAAAGCTCTGGTTCAATACTTCAAAGTAAGAGTCCTGCATGGAAATGTAGTGGAGTCAAAAGTACAATATTTGTCTTCAAATGTAGAGGAGTAAAAGTCACAAGTTTGCGTAAAAAATACTCAAGTAAAAGAGTACAGTACTCCAGTAAATGTACTTCGTTAATTCCCATTCCTGTGTATTATCACTATCATCATGATGATACTGAACAATTCATGATATTAGGGCTGACTCGGCCGATCACATTCCCAACGGACTCCAGTGTCTTTCACATGGAAGACAAAAACTGAATAACCTCCAGTAAAGTCGGGTTTCGTTTCTATTTTTTCTTCTTTTTTTTTTTTTTTTGGTTTGTTTTGTTTCTTACGGCACTTTAAGTAAGTTTATGACATTACTATCATCATCACTGTATTTACTAAATCCTCTCAAGTTATGAATAAGTATCTGTTGATAAGTTTATTTAACAGTGTTAGGTTAGAGATGATGAGGATGACACTCTCCAAGGTGTCTCTGCTGACACTCCGCGGCCTCTCGCTGCCATTACAGCTACTAGCACACAAGAAACAAGGCGACGTCACTTCCGCTTTCAGGTTGACAGCAAAACAAGAGAAGAAAGAACTGTAAAACACACAGCGGAGGAACATTAGTGAAGCACAGCTGCTGTAACGGAATGAAGGTAAGAGATAGGTAGTGGTTTTACTTCAGGCTCTCATAAAGGGACCTGAGACCTGACAGAGCTGCTGTGTCAGTGACATCGCTGATATTCACTAACGCTACAGTCTGTCACAACAACATCAGCTATGGAAAGTCACAGATGTCTCTGTGTGTTATCGATTAACGGTTTGTTTTGCTTTTTGCTGGTTTTGTTAGTTTTTGTTTGTGTGCGTATTACGCATTTCAGCCTCATGGACACAAACGCTTTTCACCCTTGAAACTCTGCAATGATTTCTGTTATTTTAGCAAAATCAACTAACTCCCATTGAGCTATCGTTAACTGGGGAGGTGCTTGCAGATGTAAATAAAGTCATATTGTGCTGTGAAATACGGCCCTGCTGTGCAGAAACATAACATAACATACAGTTTGTACAGTAGCTGACGTCAACAGTTCAATAGATTGAGCTCTCATAATAATAAAGCTGTAGTGATATTCATAAGGATGAAATGATGAGAATTTGTTGAATATGGTTAATTTTTACATCCTATTCAGTGACATTTTTATGTAGAAAAACGACTTGTTTTGTGATTTGACACATTTCACCTTTACCACACGGGTCAATATGGGTGATAATCTGACTAAGCTTGGGCACCCCTGAGAAAAGTGGGTAGGACTACATAGTTTCATTTATTTTTATAGTGAAAATAGTAAATACAATGCAGCAAAAAGTAAAACAATAATAATGAATAAACAATAATAAAAAATGTGTTCTCGGGGCCCAAAAAAATAACTTAAAAAAAGAGAGACTTTCTTGAAACGTTACTGATCAGTAAGTGTTGTGAGCTGTTTCAGTGTAGAATAAAGTTTTTAATTTAAAGTATGGATGAGTTGAAGTGGGTGAAAAGGAATTGAAAAGATCAAACATGGAAAAATGGAAAAAGAAAACTCTTTTAAAAAGTAAAAGTGATTTTAAAAAAAGTGATCAATGATATGAGTAGAAGCACTCATTCTGAACATTTTAAAGACTAAAATTTTTGGTTAAAGTGTTTTGATGTTATAACATGCCAAAACATAAGGAAGATAGAAAAAAATAGTGTGTCAGATTTCACTGACACACTATTTTGTTCATTTCAGAACATATTTTTAATTGAGGTTGCCCCTAATAATGGGGCAATAATTCAATTCAGTTTTATAATTTATACCTTTTTTTACCTAAGTTAATGAAAAACTCAATGGCAGCTTCTACTTCAAGAAACATCACTTCTTCAATAAATAGTTCAGAACTTTTTGTAATATCAACAGTTGATGTTGTAATTTCAGGTGCTGACTTCACAGCAAGAGGTGGAGGAGGAGAGCCCCTCATCTCCTGTGGACTCCAACAACCATCACAGCTGTGAGGACAGAGAACAGGAGGAAGTCCCCCTTTACCTCCCAGAGGAACACAGACATGGTGAGGAACCACATCTACATGTGTCCACTCATACCCATATGGTATTCAAGACCAGGCCTGGAAAACAGTAAGGCTGGGTCCAAATTCTAGTTGTCCCATTGTGGACATAATGGTCTCAAATATAGTATGTGTCTCAGTACATCCTAATTATCCTTGGTGGTTATTAGTCCAGTCCTCACAATATAATACAATTAGCTTTGGCTGTACAATGTAAACATAAGCCTATAGGCTATGGCTGCGGCTTTATTCTTATTTCTATTAGCTGCAGCAGGCTCCCTCACATTTCTCTTCATAAATTGTCAAATATAAAATACTATTTATTCTATGGCTTGTCCGAATACTGTATGGTTATTTACTGAGATATGTGCATCCATATACTGGACAGAGAACAGGAGGAAAAATTTAAAAATGTTAAAATGTTGTAACATGTTAAAATGTTGATTAGCAGTAGGCCCAGCTAATCAACATTTTAAATTCAGTATTTAATCAATAGTGACTGTTAATCCGTTGGTTTCCATCTGGATGAGTTGTAACTAAACCTTGACTGACAAACGATAAAATCACTGTGTTGTTTTAAAATGGTGTCTGGACTGGTCAAACCAAGGTTGCCGCTGGAAAACTCCAGTTTCATGCCTGTTGGCATTTATCAGGCTAGTTGAATTTCACTCTCACTTTTCACAGACATAGCAAGACACAGACAGACAGACAGACAGAGATGCACTGTCCAGCTGGGTTAGCAAGACAGACAGAGTGAGAGGCACATCACTGTTATTCATTTTCATTAAACTTGGAGAGGAGAGAACAATTACCTGATTGATGTACCGCACTACTGTTCATTCACTCTCATGGTGTTTTTATGCCTCCGCTCTGGTGACAGCTGTGAACATCTATCCCATTCTTGTGAATGTCAGTAACGCTTTGAGGGTATTTCTTCATGTTTGGTACAAGCGCTCACTTGGACTCAAGGACGAACTGATTAGATTTTGGAGGTCAAAGGTCATTGTGACCACACAAAACATGGTTTTTCCTATAACTCACAAATTTATACACTAATTATGACACAATTTACTTCACTGTGACATCATTATTTAATCCTGTAACTCAGGTTTATATCATATTTCCTGATACTTTGCTGGTTGGTTGAGGCACACAACCGTGAGGTGGTAAATCTAGTTTAGATTATATTAAATTCTGTCTCTTTTTTGTCTCCCTGTCTGTTAGTGTTTTATGTTTATCTATCTGTCTCTCTGTCTCAGACACAGATAAGGACCACCCCAAACCAGAAAGCGGAGTCATGTGGAGAGTGGGAGGTGGCCTGTTCAGCATGACACGAAACGTTGTTGGTGCAACATTTGGGAGTGTTGCATGGGTAGGAACTAAAAGTTTTGAGCTCACCAAAACAGCTGTGACCAGTGTGCCGGCAGCCAGTGTAGGACTGGTCAAAGGGAGTGTCTCCATGGTTACAGGAGGTGTCGGAGCAGTGGGATCTGTAGTGGCTAGTAAAGTCACACCAAGGAAGAAGGATAAAGCTGACTGATGGCCTGTGGGCTGTGTGTGTGTGTGTGTGTGTGTGTGTGTGTGTGTGTGTGTGTGTGTGTGTGTGTGTGTGTGTGTGTGTGTGTGTGTGTGTGTGTGTGTGTCATAAAACGAGCAAAATACCTCTAAAGCTTTGAATGGATTTTCATCATACAATGGTTAAGACACAATGTTAACCATTGTCTGATACCTTTTGTTATTGGCTGGTCCTCTGCATCGATTGTTCATAGAATCTGATCTGATTTTCATCTGAGTCAGACATGTAGACAAACACAGTGTCCATGAGCTCATATCACACAAACTATATGTTACTTTTGTTACTTTATTAAATACTTCGATAATAACTGCTCCAACATCCTTTGACAGCAATAACCTAAAATCAACTTTTCCAGTAGCTGCTGATCAGACCTGCACAGTGTTCTGGGGGAAGTTTTGAGCATTCCTCCTGTTGGAAGTACAAACAGAAAGACAAACCTGACTGGCAGTGGACAAGGGGTCAATCAGTTTTTATTAGCTCAACTACCAGTAGTAAATACAACATGATAATGAACTACAAGTGTTACTGACCTTGTTATATTTGCTATTAGCTGTTCAGTTAAATTCTGGATTTTAATGTCACAACTATCTTTGCTTACTTCCTGTTTACATCACCTTGCACATGCCCAGTGTAGGTGAATGGTCATGTGATATGTGTTTTTAGATGTGTTAGTATGGACGGAGATTATTTCTGACACAAAAACACTCATCTTGTTTTAAAACGTTTAAAAATGTTTTAAGGTATAGGTATAAAATTACCATAATTATTAGTTTTCATCAGTGTTGGAACTAGTATTTATTTATTTTTTATTTATTTATTTAATAACACTCATCATACTTTATTTTTAAGGCTTTTTGTTGAATCTGATGAATCCTGTTGTTAATCCTGTTATGTTATGTTCCCTCTTCGTTGGTGAAATTAGGATCTGATAGGAATTCATGACACAGCCTCCAGTGGACATTAGGGTTGTCACGATACTAGAATTTCAAACTCAATACCGATACCCAGGAGAATACTCAATACTCAATACCATTTTCGATACCAATAATGGAAAATAATTCCAAATGGCACTTTTTCCAATTTCAACTAAAACAGGTTGCGAAGGCCCTTCAGCAGCAGCACTTTCCATGTTAATTTAATTTTATACTGGCGACACCAGCCAGCTCAGTGTTATGAACGTCAACTTGTGTTCATGTGTTCAACTGCTAGTGACGAGATAGGCTGTGTGCCTGCCTGCCTGCCTGCCTGCAGTGGTGCTGTATGAAGTTGTGTGTCAACTGGAGGAGGCGAAGACGGCACTGTTGGTATTAATACTGTTGCAATTGAGTATCTAATCCGATACTAATTTTTAGTATCGATTAGTATCTGAATATTGATATTTTTGACAACCCTAGTGGGCATAAGTTGAGCAAGTTTCAGAGAACAGGAGTTGAAAATGAAAGTGCATGTTTTAAAAAGACAATTACATGAGGGAATCCTGTCCGCAATAACGTGATGAGGTGCTCTTCTACAGAAGAGAGCAGAGTTTCCTTTGGGGATGTGTTATAGGTTCTGGTGAAAAGATGAAGCCAGGAAGTCTAGTTTGACAAATATATTTATGAAACACTGGTTGTGTTGAAATCACTCACTTATTCACTCATCGAGGACTATACAGTGTGCCCATCGGTCTCTGCGCTGTTTTTCTTGTCTTTCAGCCTGAATGCATTATGCTTGCTTGGCTAGTGACCATCGGTTGTACACTACTTTTCATGATGCATTGTGGGATGCTATGAATCCAATACATAGGGTATAATAATTCTCACTATACATTCGGACAGCACTACAAACATTGCAAACTCATTATATAGTGGACTATAGAGGGAGTAGTGAGTGATTTTGGACATTTGGAGAATCTTACGGAAAAGAATGTCAATCACTTTATCCTCCATCTCAGTGGTAAACAGTAGTGTTGTGTTCACACTATTGAATAATCTATTGTGTCAACACAAATGAATGAGACTCTGTTCTTTGATGCAGTCTGAACACAGCCTTAAGGCATGTCATGGGATTAGTTTTTGGTGTGGATGGCATCATTATGTGGCCGTTTATAAAGCTCAAGTACAACACCAGAGCCGTGAATGCTGCATTAAATTAAGACCCAGGACTTTGATTCAGAGTTGTGGAACTCTTTGCCATAATTTTTCAGTAGCCCAGCATCTGCTCATAATATTTTTCATACACCTTTTTTTTTAATTAACTGTATGTTAAGTATTGAAATTATGTATCTTTACTTGATATTATTACTTCTGTATGTGTATATTAACAGTTAATCTTTACCACCGTCTTCTATGGGTTCCCTGTGTTCCTTTTTTTACCTGCAGATCACACATTTTGGTAGAATCCCTTTTCACAAATTCACATTTGTAAATCACAATGGTGAATGTGATCATTTACAGGTTAACCACAGTTTGTTGTCACTGTGATATCATTCAAATGTCATTTGAACATGAAAAACTAAAATATGTCAACAGGCAAGCAAACAATTCTTCAAGTATGAAGAAAAATGTTTTTAATTGTAAATAATTGATATTAATTTTGGTTTGAAGTGAACTTTTCTTTTAAGGAAATTCCTATTTTCCTACAATTACGACCAGATTTACAGAAAACATCACAAATTATTACAGGCCTGTAAGATGAAACTTTACCTCCAGTGCTAAAATTTGAGTGACTATTGAACTTCTATTTGTCATTTGGAAACTTCAGTGTGATGTTGATGTTGCTTTGTGTCGTCAAGGTATTCACAGAATGTCAGAGCTGTATCTCTGGGTCTGTCTGCCCTCTGCTGGTCAAAAATGCAGAGGGGATGTGGAAAATGGTCTGTGACATGAGGACAAACTTTTTATGACGGCATACATGTTCCTTATGATGTTATAGTATGAAGTCAAAACTCTGTTTGCATTTGTTTGAATTTTGAATTTGCACTGTTACTGTGAAGCTACATTTTATGGGTGGGTAAAAATCCTTGTACATTTGCTGCATGTTTCACACACATTGTTTTCTGCTCTCTTACCTGAATTCTTCTTTCTCTCTTTCTCCTTCCCTTTCTCTCTCTCTCTCTCTCTCTCTCTCTCTCTCTTTCTATTTATCTCCCCCTCTCTCTCTTGCTCTTTCTGATAGTTTTAAACCTGAAGACTCTGTTATTATGAAACTTTTCGAAATAAGGAATTTTATGTATTATAGAATTATTTTTACAAACAGAATGAAAATGTCAAACTGTAAAAATAAAAACTGTCAAGTAAAGTCAAGCCCGTATTATTGATATTGTATAGCCCAATATCACAAATCACTAATTTGTTTCAGATTTGTTCAGTCTGTCCAGCATAATGACACCCACTGTTCTTAGAGCCACAATCTGGATTAGAGAAAACGCTATCCTTCATTAGAACCTATTCATGGGGGAAAGAATGGAAGTGTCCAGAGGAGCAAACATACAGTAAAATTACAATATGAAAAATCAGGATCACAAATCATAGATGCATTGTTAACTGTTAGGAAAATTATCAAATAAAACTCAGGAACACCGTCTGAAAATTATAAGAGTAGGATATTTATTCTTGCAGCAAGGGAACAAGTTACACACCAGAGCTCACAGTGCAAATGTTCAACGGATGCAAGATTCACATAGAATTTTATACACAGAATCCGTGAGACCAGACATAATAGAGCCTTATCATAGTTAATGTTTTGGTGTACTGGCCGGGAGAAACAGCGAAGGTCACTGCGCTCCTCTCGGACAACACCTGTCTTACAATAATAGAAAGTTCTATTCAGGATAATACAGTTTCTCAGGATAATACAGGATAATACAGTTTCCCTCTAAGATGTTTATGTTATTCATAAAGTATCACAATTTTTCCAACATTTCCCTCCTGTTAATACTTTATGAACTTCCAGAAAATAAAAAACTCAATTTAAAGCATTTCATCACACAATAAGAATTCTTACTATATACATACAAATGAATTAGGTTCATCCGTATTTTCCACACACTACTCTTCTTCACAGATTGTCATAGTGTACTTCATAGTTCGTTCACCCATCATCACAAGGCACATTTTTAAACAATACTTTCATTATCAACCTCATCAACATCAATATCAGTTGGTATGTATTGGTACATCATAGTTTTTGTTATGGCGGTATCAATCAGCCTTTGGATGAGTCCTCGTAGACATGGTATGCAACAACAACCACAGACAGAAAGAAGAGCCGCTGCAACTGAAATAGAGACTAGAAAAGAAGAGATTAGTCCACTCCACCTCCCAAACCAATTCTCCATCATTCTGGTAAAGGGGTTGTCTACACCAGCATTTTCTGCCAGCTCCTGTGAGAGAGGCCTTGGATGGCTCTAGTAATGCTTCCGTCAGGGGCTGTATTGTTTGGAATGAAGGTGCAACACATCTCACCAAACATCTTACAAACCCCTCCTTTCTCAGCTAAGAGCATATCCAGGGCCATTCTGTTCTGCCATGCCATCAGGCTTGTTTTCTCTAATTGTTCAGCTATACCTTTAAACCCATCTCGTGTGTAGTTCACAAACCGTTGTTGGTTATAATAAATGTAATTTATCCAATCTACATTTTTATTGATTGTAACCCACCAAAAGAACAATGACTCAAATCCTGCGGTTACCTGATTTCGAGCTTTGTATTCGTCAGGTACCCCTCGAGGCACCCCGATCTCATCGATGTATACATGTGTATCAAATGATCTGAGAGGATTTGTTCTGCGTTTTATTCTATGTGATTTGAACATTCCTTTTGATGCTACAGTATCAGTCAAGGGCAATACATAGAATGGCATAACTAATTGGATCAGAGCACATTTCCCTTTCCAGTCATAAGGTAACATTGACCTCAGTGTTTTACCTCCACAGAACCACCACACATCAGCGCGAGGAGTGGACTGGTCCTTTAACCAGTCGTCCTGAATGC